GAGCAATCCGGACGGTCGGGGTGAATGTGTGTGAGTGTGAGTGTGAGTGTGCGTGTGTGTGTGTGTGGAGGCTGGTCGGTAGGGGAGGCGGCGAGGTGGTGAGCTGGGGTGGTGGTGTGGTGATGAGGCTTAGAAATTGGAGAGCGGAAAGGATGGATTCGGGGCGCGATCCTGCCCAAGCGTGGTCCGTCGAAGACAGCCGGCGCTCGCTCTGGTTGAATGGACCCACAGACACCGGACAACCCAGCCAGCCAGCAACTAGTCGGTCAGCGCCACACACCCACACAGCCGCTCACTCACTCGACAGACGAGCCGGCCAGCCATCTTGCCATTCATCCATTCATACGTCTATTCATTCATTCATCCATCCATCCGTCCGTCCGTCCGTTTGTCCGACGTCCCGGCGGGCTGGCCGGCCGGCAACTAGTCGCTTCACAGCAGTCCTACTCCGCTTGCACACCCTACCTACCCCATGCAGTCTTCCCGGCAGGCCCGACCACCCACCCACCCAACCACCTACCCACTGAACCCCCCGGCCCAGCAGACCTCCGGTAGACCGCTAAGCCAACTAGCCGGCCGGAAGACATGTTGGCCAACCAAATCGCCAACTAATCGGCCAGCCGGCGAGTGGACGCTAGAAGGTCGGCTCTGTCGCATCGGCCACTATTTCCCCTCATTTCGCCCGCCAACCTCACCTCACCGCCAACAGACGTCGACTGTCATTGCCAGTTCAGACGGAATGAGCCATGTCGAGAGGTGAAGAGACACACACATACATACACACACACACACACACACACACACACACAGAATGATAGATAGATAGAAAGAAAGAGAGAATATGCGAAAGCCCAGAAGGAGGATGAGCAGAGCGAGGTAAACTCTCGAAGAAAAGTGTGCCTACTCGAGGAGAGTGCGAAAGAAGTGGAAGCGGCTAATTCGAGTCTGCCTTTCCAATCTGGCCATCGGCTGACCTACACAAGTTCGGACACCGAATGCCAGAACATTTTGCCCAAGGCCCATCGTCACTGTGTGTGTGTTGGTGTGTATGTGTGTGTGTGTGTGTGTGTGTATGTGTTGGCTAGCGACCGTTGTGCAGGCTAGCTCTGCACGCGCCAGTGATCTCCCGCCTGTGCATGTGTTTATCGGCTGTCGGCTGTGCTGATTTGTCGCCATGCCGACATGTAGTGGAGGCGTGCAGTCGGGGCAACGGCGCGAAGAAGACTAGCGACCATGTCGACTTTGGCCAACATCCGGCGGACGTGTTTAATGAACGGGAGTGTCAGGGGGTTGATGCTAGGACAACCGAAGCCAGTTGTACCGGTCCGGTCCGGTCCGGGCCGGGCTGAGCTGAGGCTGAAAAGGTGGAGTTGCCAGTTGGTTTGGCCACTCGGTCGTTTGGTCGTTTGGTCGTCGCTCGGACGGAGGTCGTGCTGGCGGGAGGGAGGATGACGAGCGACGGTGTGTGAAAGTGAACCGACGCGAGTGGGAGAGCGAAGAATGCGCTTGTGCCAGCGAGGCTGGACAAGTAGTTTTGGCTGTCCTTCCTCGGCTCTCGCCCTCTCTCTTCCTGCGCGCCTGAGCCAAACAGCTTGGTTGTCTGAGGCCGGACCGACTCAGCCGGTCTGGCCGGTGTCTCAGTCACCCACCGCCTCTTTGCACAAGGTGAATCTGATTCCCTCTTCAGTTCACCCTCTAATTGGGTCCTCTCACTCCCAGTTACCGGCTCCACTTAACCATCTCGCAACATCTCCAACTTCCATACTCTGTCCTGGCGCTGCAGCGTTTGCCCTGCGTCTCGGCTGTTTCGGTGTCTTTTTTTCCTCCATTTCCCTTTTCCCTTTTTCCTTTTCTCTCCTCCGCTCTGCCTCCACTCCATCTCCTCGCTAGACCGATTATGCCGTCTCCTTGCTACCCTTGTCAGGCATGCTCACCGACACCAACGACGGTGTGCACAGGCTCGAGTCAGGTTCACTTGCTTTCGTG